TTAAATTAAAAAAGTAAAAGTTAGTCTTTAAGGTGCTGCAATGTTTTTGTTTGTTTGTTTGTTTGTTTGTTTGTTTAAATAGAATATATAAATAAATAAAAAATTTACTGTATTTTTATTTTGTTTTCACCTATAATTCTTGCTTCTAGTGTATGAAAGCACCATGCCGGCATGCTCCATCATCTTCACTAGCCATTGATTATTTATTACATACAGTATTGTGGTATTTCTAGTCCAGTCTGTATTGACTGATCCCTAAGTGGGGTATAGTCAGTAAAATCACATTAAAAGAGATTAATACAATATAAATACTTAAAACATTTAAAACAAGAAAACAGAACGCTTGCAGATTATGACATTTTTGGCAAATCTGTAATTGCCGGTCCATAATTCTACATAGCTTTCAAAATCTATTCTCTTTCCATAAAAGCATGAGCCAGGATATGATTGCAAGTTCTGATAACCTAACAAGAATCAAAAGTTAAACTTTGATTAAGGTTAAAATGACCTGGAATCTTCCAGGTTTACTGGCCTTGACTCAAAAGCTGTTCTCATTTATACCACTGTATCTATCCTGCTGTCTTGCTCTTTATTATTTTATATTATTTCATTCTTTTTTAAAAAAATGTTGCTTATTTTATTCTTATTTTGATTTTATACTGTTACTTTTATTGTTTGGGATTGTGTATGTTTACTGTGTTAACCGCCCAGAGTGGCCAAGTATCTGGATGGGCAGTATAGAAGCCCTAGAGTAGACCCATTTGAATCAGTTGCTGAACAGAGAAATAGAAAGTTGTCTGTTTAAGAAAAAACACATGGAGAAGGTGGGTTGTGTGAGGCCACCTAGCTAGCTCATGTCTCATGGCCAGAGTTGAATTGAGGACTTCTGGTTTCTAGCTCAGCTTCTGACATACGTACAACAACTGTTTAACAACCTGGAAAATCTCATTCTTTGGGCTACAACTCCCAGAATCCCACAGTGACCATATTGGCTGGAGAATTCTGGGAAATTGAGTCCAAAAGGTCACCCTCATGCAAATTAGTACTGTACTCTGTTTTACTCAGAGGGAAGTGTTTGTTCAAGCTCAGTGGGCCCTCAAATTATGTTCAGCCTGAGTTGGAACAATGAAAGTGAAACTAATTTTAAAAGCTTTAAATAAAATCTGCTATATTTCTTATGTTTGCTAAATTCCAGTTATGACATTAGTGGATGAGCCTTTGATCCATGCAACAACGTACATTCCCCTCATGGATAACACTGACCAGAACCCAGCTGTGGAAAAGAGAGAAGCAGTTGACGTGATCAAACAAGATGGGATCGAAGGACTGCAGAAAAGCAACACAAAGAAACTGAAGAATGAGACGGATAAAGGTATGCCCCAGGGGAACAGAGTTTTGTGCGATGAAGGTGGAAATGCTGTTTGTGTGACAAGATTTTTAGGTTTCCTGTTTGTCACACTTATTGTGACACTTTTCTAGATCATCCCAGAATGCAGGATACGTAATAATAGGCTCAAGTTATTGGAAGTTCAGCTTTTCTCCCAGAAGTGGGCGTCCAGCTTTTTAACATGGTTTTGTGCCCCCTCCTCTAGTGTTGGGGCAAAATTTGGCTTCTAAGCTTTCCAGAGTTGCCACCTCTGGTCCACCAATTGACTGTGTAGAAAATTGTCCCCCTATTACAGTTTCTTAATTGCTAACCAGTTTATAATATTGTACTATTTTTCATAGACTGTAGATTTAAGCTGGCTTCAGAGGCGCGCGCACACACACACACACAGAGAGAGAGAGAGAGAGAGAGAGAGAGAGAGATTTTGCTGAAAGATTATTGGGGTTGGTGACTGGTACCAATTAGGTCATGGGTGGAATTAGCAGACAAAGAGGTTGAAGACATGGATTGCAGCAGAACATCCTGATGGTATTGTGGGGGATCTAGCAGCAGTGTGTGAGGAGTGCATGCATACAAACGTCTTTCAAAGCCCTTGTAATATATTATAACACTGACATCTCCTGCGATGTGTAGAATTCCTGTGATACTGCTTCCTGAAACAGATCGGTCTCAGACTGCGACTTCATTAGCAAAGGGATCTGCTCTGCAGTTAGCATGGGAGAATTCAAAGTATTTTCAGCGGTCACACAGCACAAAGGCTAGTGTGACTCCGCTGGGCCCTTTTTGCTTCACATACCAACTTTTCCCTCCTGCCATTGGGGGCTTTGACTTCTTAAAAGCTGAAACGATTCAAATACCTGTGTGGTTATTTGTTTCATTCTGCAAACGTCTGGGGTGGTGTGACACTGGGTGGTGATTAGTTAGGCATTCTTCAGTCTCGAAAGACGATGGTAATCTGCTCTGTATGGAGGTCTTGGAACAGCGTCTAGTGTGGCTGAGGAAGCCAATTCGAGAGTGACCATCCCTTCTACACCTGTCCAGCTCCCTGATTTTGCTGCAAAATAAGTTGACATATTAAGCGGGGACGAGATGTTTTCAGACAGTGGGGACACCCAGGCTTTTGATTTTTCTACTATGTTGTCCCAAGGATTATATATTTGATTTTTAAAAACCTAAATACTAAGATTAGCATCAGATTACCTTATTACCATATGGATACGTCAATTTATTACTAGATTACTTTTGCACAGGGAAAAAACAAGGGAAGAGAGGAGAACCAGGGGTCACCGGTTGTGTGGTATCAAAGGAAAGGACGTTATGGGCTCCTGTCAAATTGTGTTAGGTTGAGGGCCAGTGTGGACAATGGCACTGAAGCAATCCGGGGTGTTCATGTAATCGCCTAAAACGAATACAACTATTAAAAAGACTGTGAATCAAGCCACAGCAAAGCCGAATTGCTCCGATATGGCTTGCCGGTATAGCTACAACCTCGTATGCCCATTGCCCATACATTCAGAGTACTGTGTGCGTTGCCTCTGCTCTCTCGCAGCCCATTTTGTCTCTTTAATCCCGCAACTCCTTTTCCTTACACCTATGCAATCTTGTGGCTTTCTCCCATGTCTCCCATTCCATGACTCCGTCCTCTTTAAACCTACCCTAATGTAGATCGTGCTCCTTCTGTGACCCTCCTGGGATTTGCCCCTCCCCATTAGAAGCACTCCTCATTCTTGAGCCGCAAGCTTTTTTTTTTGAAGGGTATCACTGTGAGGTATCAATGCATTTATTGGATTGCCTGAGAACACTGATTAGAACCAAAGCATTCACAGTTTTAGTCAGAATCTCCTCTTAACCCGTCGCATTAGGCTGAACTGATCAATTAAGATTTGATGCCACCTGAAGTAACAGCTGCTGTGTGTGCTTGGCCTCTTCCTGAGCTTAACTGGCAAAATTCACTGATCTCAGAGAGACCTTTTCTTACGCTGACATAATAGTCAGGGGGCTGAGACAACTCTTCCCTTGTATATCCATGTTTGATATACATGCTGACATTATCCAGCTGTTACAAAGCATGAGTACTCTGACAGTACAATTTATTGATTTCGGAACTTGCGGCAGGGGGAAAGAATTTCTGAAATATTTTCTCCAGTTTTTCACACGTTTGACAGTGCTTTGCTTTTACAAGGCGCACACAAGAGTGATATGTTTTCCAAAACCCCAAACACCTGGAATGAATATAGCTTTGTATTCCTCTTTACAAAGGAAAGTCTATAATCCATTTGAAAGTCCTCCATTTGAAGGGCAAGCCAGTTTACTTTGACTTAAAGATAAGTGCTTATCCAAGCTAAATTAAGGCCCATTGACTCAATGAGAACTTTTAAAGCTAGCGCTTATGTAAGTGCCATTGATTCAGTTTGGTCTGCTTTTGTAGAAACGTACCAGTGGGCTTGATCTAAAGCTGCAAAAGAAGGGAAACCAGTGAGTCCTCCAAAGCGATCCATCAAGAGCCCTTGGGCATCTGAGCAACCTGGTCATAGTCTTTCCCTTTGTGGCACAATGCATGACATTTGTATTTACTACTATAATTATTTTTATTTGACCCTGGACGTATAAATTGGCAGGTGGCAGTCTTTGTCTTTGTCTTTTCCGTGTATACAACCCTCCAATGTATAACCGTATTTTTCCGTTTATATGAACCTCCAATGTATAAGATGACCCCCTAATATTGATCCTTGCTGGAGGCGGAGGAGCAGTTAATGGGCCACTGGTCCTCCACCTCCGTCTCCTGCTCCTGCAGGAGGGGACAGGCGGCAAGGTGAGCCCCCACTGTTGCATTGGAGGAGGCAATGAGCAGTGGCGGCAGCAGCAAGAGATGCACGAGCGCGCACGAGTGCTGCTTTGCCCCTGCCTCCTTCCATCTATAAAACGACCCTCAATTTCCCCCCTAATTATTTTAGGGAAAAGTGTCGTTTTATACACAGAAAAATAAGTAGTTCCCCCACCCCCTTTCTACAATATGTTGAGTTACTTCTAAATTTGAAAGTTAGGTCTCATGCCTTTTGCTCCACAGGAATATAAAGCAGTGAACAAAATATTTTATTGTACTTTACAGCAACAAGCCTCTGTGTATTTATTCAAATTAAGCCCCAATCAAGCTTAGTCTCAGGGAGGTTACAAAGTTCCCTGCCTTGGCTGATGTGTGTGTATCAAAACTCGTGATGCATACCAGTCTTCCTCTTCCCTGACCCGTGTATTGGGATACAACAGGAGAAGGAGAATGCCATTGCATCCCTAAATTAATCCTTGCTGCTGTTTTAATGGTAGAAAACGCCGAAGTGAAATTTAAGGACTTCCTCGTGGCAATGAAGAGCATGATCTTCACCGAAGAGGAGGCACTGAGTGTGGTGGAGCTGCTGAAAGAGAAATCCAATGTGATACAGGGGGTTTTGCAGAAAGTAAGTGCTGCTCTGGGGACCACACATGATAAGGAAAATAAGATGGTTGGGCTGACTAGACAATTCAGTACAAGGGTTTTTTTTTTTTGAGGGGGTTTAAGGCTGCTTCTGAATATATCAGTGTTTTTGTTTTTCTGAACAATAATCATGTACTGTCATGTCAATTCTGACATATGGAGATCCTTTTCAGGGTTTTCAAGGTAGTGAAGACCCCCTTCTTCTGGGGGAGCCCTGGGACTGTGCAGCTGACCCAAGGCCATGCGGGCTGGCCCTTTCCCTAAAAGGAATCAAACTCCCACTTTTCTGGCTCCGCAGCCAGATAACCTAAACTATCGAGCTATCTAGCCAGCTTCTTTTTCATAATGGTCTCAATATGAATGGTCTTTACTATCTTGGCTGCCATCATGTATCCTGAAGAGGAATCTCAAAATCTTGGTCTGAATCCAATTGCTAGTGCCAAGCCGAGGGTAAGCCACTGAATCTGTTCTGTTCTGGCGATTCCTGTCCTGTAGCGCTGAAAGGTATACAGCAAAAGGGGAGCTTATTTGGTTAGAAAGATCAGTGTGAGCACACATCTTAGATTGTCATCTACAGAAAAAATTAAGGTTCTCCATAGAAAATACTTCCTTGGACCTTTGGCTCCTTTTAACACGTTTGCCATCCTTGCCTGTGAGAGTGCTCCTTTCGGTGCTGTTTTGGCAACCCTTTTCCTTCTCTGCTTGGACTCTTCCCCATGTCCCAGTCCTCAGAGGTTTCCTTTTTGTCTAGTTGTGTCAGTATATTTTAGATATCATCCACTCTGTGCCCAGCGTGGGACGTTTCCAAGCAGCTTTGAATGTCACCATTAATGACATCAGACAGAACCTGACGGATGATGTTTTTTTGTTCCTAGCAACACTGGGGCTGTTGGGAAAACCTAATATCTGAACAGCCCTCCTGTAATATCTCCAACTTCTCTCTATTGCATCTTTATTCAGCTTGTAGGTACTTTGCTCAGACATCGATCTTCTCTTACTCCTGCCTGTTTTGTCACATCACGAGTGACCAAGCTTTTTTAAACTTGAAATATTGCATGGTTCGTTTTGTGTCTTTTTAGTTGGCCTGATAAAGATATTACCGCGTTCATTTCGGAATTTTTCTTACAGCTTCTCCTGCATTTTTCGCTACGGTTGATGTTAAATATGGCTTTCTGAAACAGACTATGTCTTGTTTAGCTAGCAATAAATGCAGTTCAGGATCTGAGCCCGACACTTTAAAATCAAAAACAAAAGCAGAAGTTTCTGATCTGATGGAGGAGAAGGAAGAAGGCAGTGTTTGAGACTCTTCGGCATAATGAGAAATACCAGTTTATTTTGATATTTGAACTGGGCCATTTCTGTTTTCTGATCTTGTGTTTTGTTGTTTATTGCAGGCTAGTAAGGGTGATTCAGCAACAGCTGCCCATCAGCTGCAAGAAAAGGAAAAGCTACTTGCCACAATGAAGGAAGAAGCTACTATTGCAAAGGAACAGTGCAAACAGCTCTCACAGGTACAACAACTCGCAGATTAAAGAAACATGCCTCAAATGTATAAGTACATACAATATGGAGAAGGAATCATTCATTGATTGTGAACCATGTTGAGTCCCTTATGAGGAGAAAGGTGGCATATTTCATTCATTCATTCATTGAAACAGACCCAGCTTTGTAGTTACTGATTTAAGACATTGCATCTGAATATAGGCATCCTTTAGTCTCAGGAGAGTATGGTAACGTGCTCTGAATAAAGGACTTGGAACAGTGTCTAGTGTGGCTGAGAAGACCAATTTGAGAGGGACCATCCCTTCCACATTGAAGACAAATACAATCTGTCCCCTGTCCAGCTCCCCTGATTTTGCTGGTTTCGGGACGGCCTCTTTGCCTCGGCCTGCTGGACAAGGGTCCCTTCAAATTGGGAGAGGCCATGAAGCACCGCCTGCCTCCAGGCTGAATGCTCAGAGGTCAGGGTTTCCCATCTGTTGAGATCCATTCCTAAGGCCTTCAGATCCCGCTTGCAGATGTCCTTGTATCGCAGTTGTGGTCTCCCTCTGGGGCACTTTCCCTGCACTAATTCTCCATCCAGGAGATCTTTTGGAATCCAGCTGTCAGCCATTGTCACGACATGCCCAAGCTGACATAGATGTCGCTTTTCAGTAATGTATCTATGCTAAAAATTCCAGCTCGTTCTAGGACTACTCTGTTTGGAACTTTGTCCTGCCAGGTGATACCAAAAATGTGTCAGAGGCAACGCATATGGAAGGTGTCCAGCTTCCTCTCCTGCCATGCACAAAGGGTCCAGGACTCACTGCAGTACAGGAGTGTGCTCAGGACACAGGCCCTATAGATCTGGATCTTGGTATATGCCGTCAGCTTCTTATTAAGCCATACTCTCTTTGTGAGTCTAGAGAACATGGTGGCTGCTTTGCCAGTTTGTTTATCCAGTTCGACCTCTAGGGAAAGAGTGTCAGAGATTGTTGAGCCAAGGTACACAAAGTCATGAACAGCCTCCAGTTCTCTTGTGGAGATGGTAATAGAGGGAGGTGAGTCCACGCCCTGGCCCATGACTTGTGTTTTCTTCAGGCTGATTGTTAGTCCAAAATCTTGGCAGGCCTTACTAAAGCGATTCATAAGTTGTTGGAGGTGTTCAGCAGAGTGGGCAACAATGGCTGCATCATCTGCGAAGAGGAAGTCCCGTATGCATTTCAGATGAATTTTGGTCTTCGCTCTCAATCTAGAGAGATTAAAGAGCTTTCTATCTGATTTAGTCCGGAGAGAGACACCATCTGTTGCAGTTCCAAAAGCAAGCTTCAGCATGATAGCAAAAAAGATCCCAAACCTGTTTCATCATGGTTTTGTTAATATATTTGTTTCTGGAAACGAGGCCTCATTTGATGTTTTTCCTTAGGAGTTAGTTTCAGAGAAGGAAAGAAACAACTTGGTAGTGTCTAAGATGAGAGAGAGAATCGCCACCCTGGAAAAAGAGCATGGAGTATTTCAAAACAAAATCCACGGAGGTTACCAAGAAAGCCAACAAATGAAGATGAAGGTGAGAGACATCGCTTCATTTATCATGGAAGTGTTCTCTTACTTCTGGTGTAGAAGATAAAGTGGGTTGAATGATTAAAGGTAACTTACGTTCCAGGCATTTAAAAGGATGATAGTTTTAGGGGTACTGATAGATGGATAAATTTGTTTGCAGGCTGCTTTCAGTTCTTCTTGTGTTCATGCATAATTCTATTTCTTTCTTATTCTGCAGTTTGCTTTTTTAAAATGTGGCTTCTTCTAAATGCATTTCAACAAGATGTGCATTTTAAATGCCTTTTGACCCTATTGTTATTTTTTGGAGCTGGAAACTATATCCCCAGATCTGAAAAACCGCAAAATCAAAGGGACCATTTTGTTTGATTGGCACCTTGTTTGAGGAAGAGCAAATCAGATACAGATTCATTGACAAATGTGGGCTGAAGAGTAGTACCCTCAAGTACCAGTGGCCTGGTCCAGCTCTCCTTGACCTCTTGCTGTTCCCGTCCTGGGTAGATTTCTCTTCTCTCGTATGTCCATCTTCTTGAATTTTGTTCTCTGTACCAAGATGAAACTCTGACTAATCAGCTCTCTGGTTTGTTATGAGGAAGTTACACAAACGGGTTTTCAGTCTGGGATAGCAGGTGGTTTACAGCTGTTTTCCGAAGCTTTAAAGAATATGGTTATATTTTCCCCCTCTCTGTTTCTAGTTTCAGCAGCTTCGTGAACAGATGGAGGCAGAGATCAATCGGCTGAAGCAAGAGAATAGTATCCTGAGAGATGCTGTCAGTACTTCCACCAACCAAATGGAAAGCAAGTACGCTTCTGCCCTGATTCTGCTAGTGCATCCGTTTTATCTCCTTTAGAACCTGAGATTATGAGGACGAGGCTCTTACAGTTATGAAATGGTTAACACCTGTGTAGGCTGTCGATTTTGCTTTTTCATTCTGAGCTGGACACTGGAAAGGTGGATCCTGACTCATCTTCTGGGACAATAACCCAGGAGTCTTAACCAGAGTAGACACATTCAATGAATGAGGCCCATTGCATCAACACATAAATAATGCCACATGTATTTAGGGAGTTTACGATAGCCTGGAATGAAAATTGGATGTAACCCTTCCAGTGTTATAGACAAACTGTTCTCATTGGGGGATCATATAACCCCACTGGACCCCCCCGGCACATTTGAAGGGGGTCACAAGAATCATATAACCCCCCTGTACCCCCCCTGGCACATTTGAAGGGGGTCACAGATTCATCTGTTCATGTTGTATCTTTGTTTGCACACAGCCAGAGGCTGTCCTTGTTTGACAGGGGATCCCCCGGAACCTGAGAAGAGCTCCTAAAAAGGTCATGGCCAAAAAAAGAAAGGTTAAGAATGGCTGGTCTAGACCACAAAAATCAAGGTTTTCTCATCTCCATCAAGCCAAGCAGGATGGGGTTTTGGACTTCTCTGGGTTGTAGATTCTGCCTTCTTTTGTGGTCCTCCAAAATATAAAGGGTTCAGTCCAATCTTAGGTCTGCTGGTATTTGATGTTCTGTAGAGGCTTTAGTGTTCTTCATGAGTTTGAACCTTTGAGCCAGGTGTGGGCCAAGTGCAGCCCAGGAGTTGCATGTGCCCCCCCCAAGACCGGTTTAGTGGGTCCTGCTCACTCTCTCCAAACCCTTCTGTCAAAAGGGGGTGGATTGCACCCTCTGAAAGCCTCCAGGAGTTGCAAGTCTCCTTTCAAATAGGTCGTAGGGGGCCCCTTTCCCCTTCTAAGGAAAAACAGAACTTTTTTTTCCAAAACTAGAAGTGATATTCTAATGATACTTGTCTTGTTCTTTGTGGGGTTTGGCATTTTTGGAAATCCGTGTGACTTCCGGAAAGGTCTTCTCCCCCTGTACTTGAAGCTGCTATGGCTATTTCTGCACAGGAGCTTCTTCCAGATTTTTGTTGTTGTTTAGTTCCGAACTGGAAGCTTGAAAGTGGATTTACCACCCGTAAGGAGATTTCGCAACACAGCCATTCAATCCATAGGCCACATACCTGATTTCCCCCCGGTTTTAGCCAGCTCTTCACCCACACCCCAAATTGCCTTCTAAAAGCAGTCACTGGAAGGGAGAGAATTTTCCTGGTAGATTAGAAGTGGAAATTCCAGCTTAGACTTTGGCAGCCCTGACAGTGTGATAATGCATTTCCTGAAGTGGACCCCAAGGAAGAGCCAGGAGAACGGGTGGAAACGTGGAATTGGGGTCCAACCTTTCCTTTCTCTGTCCTCTCTTGTCCCCCTCACCTAATCTAATGATTGGCCTGCAGAATAATTCAGAACATTTTTCTTGAGAAGGGCAAGGCCCTTGGTCTTCTGTGTGATCTCTGTGTGCTAATTTCATCCTTTTAACTAAAATGCCAGGCAAAGCCGTTGGGGGAATAGTTGTGCATAAGAACCATTTCCCCCCAAATATGATTAACAGCTTAATATGGAAGGAAAAAAAACTTGTGTTGACAGGAGTACCTTATTGGACCCTGCGTTTTGAAATAGAGAAATGAATTTTTGTGAAGGATTTGGAAGGGTCACAGCGGAGCGGTTGCCCAGCCTCGTAACAGTGGAGTAGTATATTTCCGAGTGGTGTTCTAGATAGTATCATGCCGCCCATTCCAAGAGACGGTGTGTTGACTGCTTTCCAACTCCATTTCATTGTTTTGCTTCCAGCCATGAAAAGTCGCCTTCCTTTCTGTTCTTTTTCTAGACAGTCTTCGGAACTCAACAAACTACGGCAGGATTGCGCTAGACTTGTGAACGAGCTGACGGAAAAGAACAACAAATTGCAGCAAGAAGAACTGCTGAAGAAGAATGCAGAGCAAGCAGCTGCTCAGCTAAAGGTGAGCACCATCTTGTTTTACGGGACTGTACAACGTCTTCTGCCTCAGCTGTGCTGGGGTGTCTAAAATGGCTTTGGGAGCTGTGGTTTGTAGCAGTCGTTCAGTTGGGTGGCTACCAGTAGGCTTCCACATATGTAAATGTGCCGTTCTTGCCTCTTAAAAAGCTGAGCCATTGTCAGTGAGTAGGAAATTCACTGAGTACCATTGAAATCCTGGAGGTTGAGCCCCTTGGCCAATGACTGCGTTTGATTCTAAGTCTTGTTTCTTGGACGATTCATGAGGTTGCTATTAGTCATGCACGGAGGCTTCCCCACTCATTGCTGGCAGCAGCCCTTCATGTCCCCTGAAAAGCCCTTCATGTTGGTTGGAGTCCTTCTGAAGCTATTTTTTCAGGGTAAGGAGAGAAGCTATAACTGTTCTGTGGGTGATGAATTTCTGAGTTTCTGTATTTCCAGGGTGGAGGCCACTGCGCAAGCACATCGCACAAACAATAAGACATCTTATGGCACCCGAAAAGCTTAACAGGTTCTTCAGACGTATTTGAAGAAGTGCCTTGAAACCTCAAGCTAAATAAAATTCATTAGTTACTCAGGTGCCATAAGACATATTCTGATTATCATGCTCTCTAGCTGTACTTTTGGCCTCCTGGCTCAGTTCTTTGTCTTCTGAAGCATGAGCTCAGAAAGTCAGCTGAAACTTTTGCCAAGGGCACTTTGACCACTACAGGTATTCTTGGGCAAACACAGTCCTGTTGGTTCAAACCGGCAGAATAGGCAAGAGTTGCCTCTGCTTGTTTTAATGAGTTACCAGCTCTGGAATCATCATGACCTCTGCAATTGATCTGTGCAAATAAATTTTATATAATTATTAATGGTTAATCAGCGCATTCCTAAAGTGGGAATTGCAGCTTTAGAATTGAGAATCCCCTGGTATAGTAGTATCTATCTATCTACACTATAAGAGGGATGTGATGGCGCTGCGGGTTAAACCGCTGAAGCCTCTGTGCTGCAAGGTCAGAAGACCAGCCGTCGGAAGATCGAATCCACGTGACAGAGGGAGCTCCCATTGCTTGTCCCAGCTCCCGCCAACCTAACGGTTCGAAAGCGTGCAAAATGCAAAAAGGCGAGTAGATAAATAGGTACCACCTCGGTGGGAAGGTAAACGGCATTCCGTGTCTAATCACGCTGGCCACGTGACCATGGAGGATTGTCTGCGGACAAATGCTAGCTCTGTGGGTTGGAAACAGAGATGAGCACCGCTGCCTAGAGTCAGACATGACTAGACAAATTGTCAAGGGGAACCTTTACGTTTACCTACAGTATAAAGCAGAGCGAGCACTGTAGTGTCTGAGGAAGTGGATTCAACCCACAATTGCTCACAAGGAAACATAAGAGTTGAGTCTTTTAAGTTAGCACTACACTTTTGGTTCTTTGTTTTGCTTTCGTCTCGATAGGCTTGCACAGACCAACGTGACTACCTTTTTTAAAAAAACTAATATTACAGTAACATCTCTAACTTTTGGTTCTTTGTTTTGCTTTCGTCTGGATAGGCTTGGACAGACCAACGTGACTACCTTTTTTTTAAAAAAAACTAATATTACAGTAACATCTCTAAATCTATTCAGTTTGAGCTATAAAAATCATGTAAGGGTCCTGCATCTGGTGACAGTGATATGGGAGAGATTTCTACATATCCCAGTGGTTGCATAGAACCTTGAATTTTTGCACATACAGAATCTTTATTAATTCTCCAATGAAAACCTCATTGTGACCTTCTGTAGGTTAATTCCCGTTTTTAGCAACTGCAGTAGCACCTGGAGTGAGAAAGACAGGAAGCTCCCTCTTGATCGCCCAGTTAGAAGTGTTTCCTGTTTGCATGTGGAGGGCTGGGCAGAGCCAGACTGGCGTGAGGCTGGTTGCAAATTGATAGTTCTTTCGGTGGAACCAGAATGCCACTGTGAGCTGGAATTCTGGTTCCTTAATTTTATCCTTAATTTTATAAAACTCTCCATGCTGTGATGTACGTAGGCAGATTAAGCCAGTTGATGCAAAATATATGTACTACACATGGCTTCCATCTTAGTGCCATATGTGGTGTGGGTCCCCCCTCCCCCAATAGGTAAAGGTTCCCCTTGACATTGAGTCCAGTCGTGTCCGACTCTGCGGCACGGTGCTCATCCCCGTTTCCAAGCCGTAGAGCCAGCATTTGTCCGAATACAGTTTCCGTGGTCACGTGGCCAGCGTGACTAGACACGGAACGCCATGACCTTCCCACCGAGGTGGTCCCTATTTATCTACTCACATTTTTACATGCTTTCGAACTGCTAGGTTGGCGGAAGCTGGGACGAGCGACGGGAGCTCCCTCCGTCATGTGGATTTGATCTTACGATTGCTGGTCTTCTGACCTTGCAGCACAGAGGCTTCTGCGGTTTAACCTGCCAAATGTAGTATCACACACTACAAAGTGGAAAGTACCAAGTCTGTTAAGCAAGTACTCTTGGGCTTTACGCCTTCTCTTTCTATTGCACCTCAGATGCATATTTATTACTGTATTCAGCTTATTTTTCTCGGAAACCTATGCTAGAAAATCTTTGTTAGAAAACAATAAGAATTCTTCCATTATCATATGTATATTTAAGATATACACTGCTTTTCTCCTAAAAAGGATCCTGGACGGAATGCGGTATTAAAGGGAACCATATTAAAAGCTGAAACAATACATTATTGCAGTATTTAAAAAAGAATTAAACAGATACAATATGTTAAAAGCAGTAGATAAAAAACAGTATTGGAACAATAACAAGGAAAATACATCAGTCCCCTTGGGAAAAAAAACTGTCTTAGACAGGCAGTCATTAAAAGAAAGCCTGTCTGGAAAGGTCTTTGCCTGCTTGCAGGAGGTCGGCAACAATGCGGCCAGCCTGGCCTCCTGTTGAGAGGGAGTTTCAGGGTCTGGGAGCAGGCACAGAGAAGGCCGCTCTCTTGCGTTCCCACCAAGCACAACGGTGTTTCAGTGAATATGTCCCTTGTGCTTTCTTAATTCAAAACATTTAGGTTACTCGTTTGTACAGCTCTAAAAAGAGCTGTTGATGAGCTTCTGTCAGTTGAGGATCACAGAGACGTAGTTCTTAGAATTCTTCCAGCACTTGCCTCAGGTAGTAACAGCAAAACATTGTTCTCTGCAAATATGGATATGAGTTAGCTGTAAAATCTTTCTAATTTATCAGTTATTAGTCCAAACTAGAGATGGGCACGAAGCGCTTCTTAGCACTTTGTACAAACCTGTCAGCATGGCACCACAGGTGCTCTGCCAGCCCATCTCCTACCTGCCTCTGGTTGGCCAGGCCACTCACCCTGCTTCGCATGCCACCAGGGGGTCCTTCTTCACCAGCATCACCCCAATCCAGGTAGGAGCTTGGCTAGCCCTTCCTCCTCCAGCAGCCATCCACTCTGGTGAGGAGGCGGGATGGAGATTCTCCCAGTGCAGCTGATGAGTGGTTGGCTGCCGGAGGAGGCGGGGATGGGCTGACCAAACTACTTGCCCAGATTGGAGTGCCACCAGAGAAGAAGGATCCCGGGGGCACGCGAAGCAGAGTGAGTGGTCCAGCTGACGAGTTCATACAAAGCGCTGCGAAGCACTTCATGCCCATCTCTAATGCAAACCCATTCTTCACTTTTAACCTCAATCTTAGGACTGTTGGGCACCCCATAATTCTGTGAAGTGATATTCTTGGTGTCATGTTTGTGTTTCCCCTTCTTTACAGGACTCTGTATCACATCCATGCATGGATAGTGTTGTCAAACATTAGGCAAAAGTGAGAATGCAAGGAGGTTCTGCTTTGAGAAATGTTGGGCTTGAGTTTCGATTACAGGTTTGAAATCCAGTGAAAAGGCGGAAGGGATGCTTTACTTTTTCAAGAGTGTTTGAGGAACAATTCGGAACAAGATGATGAATGATGGATATTGTTGGATTTTTGGTTTCTTTTTTTAAACGTCAAGGCCCAGCAACAGGAAGCAGAGCGAAGATGGGAGGAAATGCAGAGCTATCTCAGGAAGAGGACAGCAGAGCATGAGGCGATCCAGCAAGGTGCGTTTGGTGTGTGTGTGTGTCTTCCCCCTCTGCAGAATACCGCCACCACGTATCCTTTGTCTTTTTCTGTCTGTGGGAATTAAAGTGGTTTCTCTATGGATCCCTTGTGTGGGCAGTCCAACTGGCTTTGGAGGCAACTGTGCCCTGGTGGGAAACACTTTTGCAGATGCCTGGCAGGGCGTCTAGTTCTTGCTGATGCCCTAATAAATTCATGGTAACCTCCCTTCCTTCCTGCCCCAAGCTTCTTTTGAGGGACTGTATCAGTTACAGCATGCAAGGCACACACATTGTACACTCTCCTTCTAGTGGGTTACCAGCTGTAGAAGCATGAGTAGGTGGGGAGCAGTGGGTTGATCCCTCCCCTTCCAGCTTAAGGATTTCCCAGAGGCATCTGGCTACCACTTTTGAAGGCGAGGTATTGGAACAAATTAACTCTGCCAGAGCTTGGTGCAGTTTCTTTTTCAGGAGTACAACTCTCAGAATCCCCGCCTTGGGACGTTCAGGCAGCAGTGATGCTCAATTGTCTTCCTTTCTTTTGGGCTTCTTGTGACAGATATCCAGAACAAGCTCGTGGCCAAAGATAACGAAATCCAGAGCCTTCACAGCAAGTTTACTGATACAATTGTCTCGAGACAACAGCTGGAGCAAAGGATGATGCAACTAATGGACGAAGAACAAAAGAGAGCCACGGCTGAAGACTCGTTCCAGAGACAGGTGAAGGTATGGCTTCTATCTTGGATCAGTTTGAACTTGTTGATGTCACCTCTAATTTGAGCCTTTATCTCTGATTCATTGGTATAGTGGAAACCCTTCCACTTTAGGTGGATAGATTGCTTTTCTTTTAATGCTAAAAAAATGTAGGAATTCAGAAATACAAATGAATTTACAGGTAGTAGAATGATTATTCTAGCAGAATCTTTCAAGAGTCAACTTCTGATCTGGCAGTAAATGCTATCTCTTAGCACGTTTTCCATTGTCATTCTCCAGATCCCATCTGGGGTCAGTGTCTACACTAAGCAGGAACCATGCAAGGGTTTCCTTGGTTCCATTACATTTTCCCTTCGTGCAAGCAGTTGTATACGGGCTGCAGATTTGTGTGTTTAAAAGGACGGTGTTGTGACGTGACAACATCCTTGCACATGATTTGTGTTAGCAGGATTTTGGCCAGTACAGTGGTGCCCCGCATAGCGAGGTTAATCCGTTCCGGATTAACCGTCGCTATGGGGAAACATCGCTATACGGAACCGAAAACGCCATAGAAACGCATTAAACTTAGTTTAATGCGTTCCTATGGCTCCTAAACTCACCGTTGTGCGAAGTTTCCCCGTAGCACCACCATTTTCGCGCCCTCGGTAAGCGAGGGCAGGGCGCGAAAACGCTGTGCACGGCCATTTTGGGCATCCGGCGGCCATTTTGGAACTGCCAATCAGCTGTTTAAAACAATCACTATGCGAAAATCACTATGCGATTTTTTCCCTATCTAAACATCGCAATGCGATCGCTTTTGCGATCGCAATTGCGACGTCGCTATGCGGATTCGTCGTTAAACACTGCACTCGTTAAGCGAGGCACCACTGTATATTTATTCTGAATTTTACATATAGATGATCCAATCTGAAAATCTCTATGGTCGTATACAAACAATTAGAAAATGAATGATTAATCATCAGTAAAATTAAATTCCTCAGAATTGATGCTACTAATGAGTTATCCCATCTCTGCAGCCTCCTGAAAAATGGTTATGTGACCATATAATAAATGATTTGATTTAGCAATTGATTCTTTTATCCCCGTGGTCTCATGAGTCCCTTTAACACTGCTTTTGTGTGTATGTAAGAAATTGTGAAACATTTCAGCAGGATCATGGGTTCTGGGCAGAAGCTTCTGAAGCAATATTACCTCATTTTGCCAAGTGGAATTTAAGTCAAAGTGGGGACATTTGTACCTCCAGATATTTTGGCCTACAACTTCCACCAGCCAGACCCAGAAAATCATGTCATATAGGGGAGTGACAGTTCAAAATTTCTTCACGCTGATGCAATTTTCTTAGAATGAGTTGAGCACCATGAAACACCAATGACTCCAATCCAGATGGAGAATGCATCACATATTTTGAGAATATAGAATGTACCAGAAACTCAAAATGAAGGCTTCTTACCGTGTTTCCCCCCAAATAAGACAGAGTCTTATATTACTTTTGCTCTAAAAAACATATTAGGGCTTATTTTCATGGGATGTTTTATTTTATAGTCATGTCATCTTCTGGTTGCTGCACAAGGGTGGAGGGCGGGGTTTCACCTAACTGGGGCTGATTTTGGGGGTAGAGCCTATATTATGAGCATCCTGAAAAATCATGCTAGTTCTTATTTTCAGGTTAGGTTATATTTTCGGGAAAACAGGGTAGAAATTACAACTGATTTATTATCAGACTGGGTGAATTGTGAGAAGGACGAAATTAAGTGGAATATAGATTAGGCCAAAAGTACATCCTCAATATTTATTTTTAAAAAATCTTCTCCCAAGAGAGGTGCAAATTAGATTCATGAAAACCACATATAGAGACAAAATTCTGAAAATAACACAAGATAAGCAATATATAAGAGAAGGAGGAGATCTGAAGACATTGAAACATATCCCTTGGGAAATGAGAAATAAAAGGAAATATATGAGAATGGATAAAGGCTATCAGCTACATAATCAATAATTAGAATAACAGTATATTTATTTATTTATTTATTTATTTATTTATTTATTTATTTGATTTGATTTGATTTGATTTGATTTGATTTATATCCCGCCCATCTGGTCTGATCAACCACTCTGCGCGGCTTCCAATAAGGTGTATACAATAAAACATAAGGATTTTACAAACAGTAAAATGTCAAATGAGATCCATAGTGGATCTTACTGATAACAACAAGTAGATTTATTTCTTTTCTAGGTAAATGATGGAACATGTTGTTGAAGGCAACACTATAAATCATACAGAAGAGCTACTCCTGCTGAAAAGGACTCAGCATGGCCTATGGAAATGTAAGCCCTATCTCTTTAACTGTTTGTAGATATCAATAAACATCACATAGTGAAATTCACTGCACAAGATGTACTATGGCCAACAATGTAGGGAGCTTTATTTATTTATTTAT